AACGATATTCATCCTTAAAGAGTAAGAAGATGCATGATTAACTCTAATTTAATTAAGAAATTCCGTAAAATAAACATTTTGCACGATGAGACTTTGTCAGCTTGATTAATCCACATCGTCTGGCGAGTTCTTCAAATTCAGTAAAAAAATAAACTATTTTTGGAGAAATAAGAAAATTTCACAATCTACAACTATGCATCGAATTGTTAAATAGATCTCAGAATTCACTTCGAGACATTCATATATCGATAAATTAATCAAAGGTCTTCACATTGTGTAATACGATAATATCAGCAAAGAATTTTGTAAAAAAAAAACAAGATCATTTTTTAAATAACTTTTATATTGAAATTTTATGATGAATTAACTATTGTGTTATTGTATGAATTATATAAACTAACAAAATAAGTAGCACCATGAATACAAATCACTATTATTTAATAAAATAATCATCAAGTAATTTCATTTAATTCTTTTAAACATATCTTACGTATTTCTGAAATACATAAAAAGAATAAATAATATGTTTGATGATAAGTTCTAATGTACAACAATCACAAAGTTCTCAAATTTTTATTTTATTTCTTTTTGATACATATTGAAAAATTTCAGTTTGTTAAATTAACTTTAAATTTATTTTATTGAACAATAATAAATGTAATTTTAATGTATATAAATTAGATGTAAAGCGTAATAATTTAACTATTTATTCATATCGAAAATGATAATATTGAATAACTAATTTAGTAAATTGTTTTTAAAGAAAGAATGCCATTATGAGTTTTTCGAATTGAATGACCAGATGTTTCAAAATAATATTTAATAGTTAATTCAGTAGCATTTGGAAAATCATGGACACAATTATATGTTGCTTGTTTACTACAAATATAAATATGTTTGAGCAAATTTAAATTCGTTTCTTCTCAATAAAATCTATAATCTTTTCTTCTAAAGATGAGAAAAAATAAGTTAATATATCTTTTTTATTGATATGGATTAGTTGAATGAAAAATTCCATTATCTAATCTATCTTGCCAATTATGTTAATGTGTAAAAAAAAACCATTGTTTTTCAATTAAAATAAAGAATTAAGTTGATTGTCATAATATGTTGGTGCAGAATCTTTATGGTTTATATAAAAAAATATGCCCATTTGGCATAGAAGATCATATTAATTTTTCCGATTATTTTGCATTTAAATAGGCTTCATCAAATTTTTTTATAAGACATCAAATTTCAATGGCATAAAAGAAATGTTTTTATTGATTTTTCAAATCGTTGTTTGAAAACAATAGAATCAAGATTGAGAAAAACATATCGAATTATGAAAGATACTATAATAAATTATTAAATGAATTAAATCGAAAACTACTTCAATAGACAATAGTTTGAGATATTCTTTGAATCTGTATGTTACTTTGCAATATTTTAATTTTAAGTAAATGAAGTATGTAAAAAAGAAAAAGATTATTTGTATTTTGTACACAATCGATAAGAGCAAAAACTGATGTAAGTGAATTGAATGATTGACAATGGTATTAAGATATATTTTGCATGAATATTATCAAGGATTAATCTCTTTCAAGTTGAAAAAGTTTTGAAATAATATACGTCGTGGTGAAAAAAACAATATCCAGAATAAATGGATTTGATAAACAAAATATATTAATTCGATGTTTATATGGTTAAATAATCTTTTTATAATGATGTTCAAAATTTGTTTTTTGACATAATTGAAATATTCATTTGAAAAGGAAAATTTGAACGAATTAGTCATTTTTTTTAAAGCGTTTTTTAAGATTGTAAAATGCGTCACAAACATAATAAATATCAAGATATTCGAATATATCATAAATGATTTCATTTGCTAAATCTTCAAAAAACTATCGAAATAAAATAAATGATAAACATTAGATTTTAGACAACTAACTTATTTGTATTGATAATAAGTATTAAAAAAAGAAAATCAGATTTATTAAATCAAAGCATAAAATCTAACTTTCTTCTTATAAATTTCGTTTTTTTTTTATTTTCATTATAATGTTGAACTGTATCATCATTACATATGTACTTGAATAATATTCTTCCTTCTTTATCTACATATACATAGAGAATTAGAAGAGATGAAAATGTTTTACAAGAATGTTAATCATTACAATAAAACTTTCATTCATAGAATATACGGGAATATTTAAAACATAAATGAATAGAATATCTTTTAATAAGAAATAATCTGTTAGTATTCATCTTTTTTGTTTTTCACTTTTTGTGTTCCAAACAACACAAAAGATTTGTTTTTTTTTTGTTTGAATATTCTCAGGTATAAAGAGTATTTCATAAGTAACGACCCTATTTTTATTTTTTTTTTCTTATCTTTGCCATATTTCAAAGTGAATGGTCATTGACGATATACTTTTATTCAAGGAGAATGGCGCTCAATTTGCATCAACTCTAAGAAAGTGTTGCATTGATGAAAATATTGAAAAATTTTTATCAAATTTATTTTTCATTTTTTTCCTAGAAGCATAACTTTCTTAGTACTTTCTGAATATTTCTCTCCAGTTTTGATGCTTTGTGACTTGAATTTTTTTTGAAAAAGACAGTCTGTGAAATTCTCTACAAAATCCAGTATAAATAGCTCTCCAAAAGAATAACTGGAAAACCATATCTGATCAACAATATTACATTCTCACAAATGCTGTTCTAATGATTTCTTTTCTTCTGACTAAACAGGTTTCAAACCATCCTAAATTAACCGTTTCGAGAGTAAGAATAAGTTCCATTGGTTGTTTAGCTAAATCTTTTAATTGATCATTAGATGTTTCATCAACAAATAGAGATTTAAGTGCAATGTTAGCTTTTGATGATGTTTATCATGATGTAATTGCATTAAATGTGCCGATAGAAGTGGTTCAAGTGCATTATATTCATAAGGTAATGGTGGTAAAATAAGTTCTGTTTGTGATTGAACATAATTAGTAATAATAGCAAGAAAAATAGTACTAATAAACATGATTTATCTACAATATTGAATATAATCAAGATTAAGAAAACTTGTTCATTCAACAACAACAACAATAATAGTAATAATAATAGAGAACAATAATTGCACACAACATACACATATTAGTTCATTAATTAACTAAATTTTTTCACTTAAAACTTTTCCTCGTCCATTAAACATTCACTTGCTGATGGAGGATTACTTGAAAAAAACAAAACAAAATTTATTTTTACAAAGTAGTTCATATATTATAACAATATCTTATTGATATACGATCTGTCATTGAATGTTTTATTTAAAAAATGGCTATCACATTTCTATTGGAAGATTTCGTTAAGAATGTCAAAGTACGATTGAACCGACGGGATTCTAGCTAACGACCATCGTATTGCTAAGGTGCCTATGTGAAGAGAGAGCTTACAAATTTCCACTCTATGTAAATCTTACTTTGGTTCGCGAACAAAAATTGTTTGAATTAGTTTTTTTACTGATTGAAATGCATAAGAAGATTGACTTTCATGAAAATCAAAATCAATATTTATGATATTTGCATATGTTTGTTCATCAAGAAGTGGTGAAAGACCTGATAATAATATGCATAAAGTAACACCGACCGACCTTTGAAAACAAAATTAATATTTAATACAATAAAATAATGTTCTTGTTCTAATTTTATTTTACCAGACATCGGTTTTATAATGAACAGAAATATTTTCACTCATACGACGAACATATTGCATATTTGATAAACATATTGAATCACCAAAATTACATAATTTTATTTGATCATATTCAATATTAATAAAAAGATTTTCTAGTTAAATAAATAGAATACAAGAAAATCAATTTTATATATCTTACAATGCAACAATAATAATTGAAAATGAATTTGTTTCAATAAAATGAAATACTCGAATAATTGAGATCATGATGTGTAGATGAAACAAGAGCATACTCATGTAAAGTACGTTCATGTGAAATAAGTTTTTTTCGATATTAATTTTGCAGCACATACATCACTGGTTGATATATGAATACATTGACGAACAATTGAATGACGTCCTCTATTATAAAGAAAAAAAAACATGTAACAAATGAAAAAAAAATCTTTTGAACAACAAAATAATAATGTACCGAATTTTGGAGACGAACGAACTTGTTCAAGTTTATGATGATCGTTCGAATCTAAAAGAATCAAATTAAACTAAAACTAGAAAAAAATATCCTATAAACAATTCAAAAGAATTAAAATATGATATAGCTGCTACGAATAATCGCAGGAAGAGTATTTTATCCTATCTATTTGAAACATATTTCTTCGCCATACTTTTGCTTAATTCTCCAGCAATGCACTAAGGATGTAATAACAAGAATTTATTGATGCACAGTTTATGATCGTTTGTCAACAAGATCTGCTAAATGATTATGTTTGATAAAAACAGCATTCTTGTTTTTATTATGAGATTTCTTTTTATAACCTTTTCCTCCTTGTTTTTTTGACTCTGTATTTGTTCATAATGTTAATTATTTTTTTTCGAAAAAAAAGTAATCTTTTTTCGTTTATCCCAATGGGCGACGAAAAATCAGTACGTGAGCATCTCTGGTATAATGCCTTTATTATCAGTAAAAATCACTTTACAGTAAGAAGCATGTCTACAGGACTTGGCTTTGCTTCAAAGGAGAAGTGGCTGTGGATGTGGATATTCTGTGTACCACGTTCACAGTCACACACAGACCCGCATCCTTATCTCTATTGATGATCTTTAACTTTAATAAAACAACATCTCATGCATTCATGTACTTATCTTTTTCTTGAGGTGACACGCATATGTTGTTCTTCTCTACTATAAGTTATATTGTTAAGAAGCCATTAATATGGCTCAAATAATTTACAAAAGAATGATAAGTCTGCTTTTAAAAACCATTGCATTACATTTCTGTTCCTAGTGATTTCTGATTTATTATGTTTTCTTTGTTTTATTTTTTATGTTATTTAGCACGATTCTATGATAATTATACTTTTGATGTGTTTTTTTTAATTTAACTATAAAAATTGAGACAACAGTACTAGAAGTCATGTCAAGTAAAAAATGATTAAGAAATTTTGAATGAGTTCAGAATTAGACAGAAGTCCGAAGAAGTACCAAGAAGCACAAAAATACGCTTATTCTCCCTTGAGCATGATAGACAAGTTTCTTAACAAATCTTTTGCTCATTATTATAGAACATCCTTCTTCTTCTAATAACATTTCAACAATTAATTTAATAATCGTTGAACAAATTGGTCAAAGGAAAGCATTTCTGATGTTAATCAGTGTTTTGCTGATACACTACAAAAAAAATCGAATAAAAGTTAATACATATAACTAATAAGTCGCAGAACCTATAGGCTTAATATATTTGAGTCTCACCCGAATTATGTTTATAACTTTTAATCTACTCGAATTGAATGTTACTTAGCTAGGTGAAACTTATGTTAAGACTGAGATTGCAATTTCTTAAGATCATTTATCTATTGCAACGAAGAAATCTGAAATCAAGACAACAACAAAATCTTCTATCTATTTTGTTATTGCTATTTTGGCATCTTTAACTCAACTTAATTGGAGAGCAGAATATAAAATACATCGATCATATAAACGTGTATTGAAACGATTGTGTAACTTCATCCGAACCTTTGCCTTCTTTTTCATTATTATATCATTCATTACAGTTGATTGAGTAAGAATAAAACTCTAATAATTAATACGTAAGCACAAGCATGTATTCAATTTAGTCTTGAACAAAAAAAGTTTTCTACATTTATTAGAATTCCTCACCCTCATATTTTCTGAATGTATTTGGTATCATGAATCCTTATTGAGAATACAAGATTACAGTATCATTCTTCTTGATGAACAAAAGAATTTCATATTTTTATGGTTGCTGATTTGTATGAAACTATTTAGTTTTCAAGCATTGTATTAATACAAATTCGTTTAATTATGGCAACCATGAACGAACATTTAGGGAATGAAATTAGATGAAAAATTTATGTTGAGTTTTTATAGACCAATCATGACTTAATTATTGTTTGTTAGTACATATTTACAAAAACTTGATAAATGAGATCCAGTTCAAATAGTATCAACGTTTGTATTATCGTATCAGAATACATTAGCTTTTCTATAGACTAATCTTCTAGTTGAAACATGCCATACTATGTATGACTCTTATACTTTTTAAAATTTGTTGTAGGTTCTTTTAAACACTGCAGAACACCTTTCATTAGCAACGCGGTCAAATAAAGCAGTATCTTTTATGGTAACAAGAGAAATTAGTTGTCTGAAATGATTTAAGGTCTCAACATTAGTTAGTTTTACACTTAATGCCTAAATTAATTCATATGTATTCAAATGTACGATATTTTACATCCATATAGATTGTAGAAAGTAACATAAAATACTGAAAAGTCTCAAAAGAAACAATTGAATAATACAATTAGAACATGGTTTATCATGACTTTCTTTAAGAAAAATGGAGGAACGCAGTATCTACATATTTATTTAACACTATAGTGATTTATAAAATCAGAGGAGAGAAAATGCTACGTATTATTATCAAGTAATATAACTATAATGATTCTACTTGTACTGATATTGTTAGCTTCGTGTATTGTAGTGGATGTTCATTATCCATTATATTATTCTGATTATCGTCAAGCTTTCTATCCTACATTTCATTGTTTATATGCCAATACGCTGACTGATGAAAGAACAAACGGTGTATCTTATAATCGATATTATCACTTAACTTCTTATTGTCGTAGACCCAATTATGGTGAAGAAAAAGATACGGCAAATATTGAAGCGACAAATCTGAAGAAAAAGCAATAGCATTTGACGATGAATTATGACCTTTTTAGAAGGAACAAGTGTCCTAGTGATAAGTATTGATGTCAGTATGGTTGTCGACCAGGGCATTCCACAATTATTTCATAGAGAGAATCGTGTGTTTAGCTTGTGTAAAGAGCGTATCGATCGATTTTGTCGCACTCTTACTTGTAGTGGCGATGTATATCGTGATAAGATCTATATTCTAAATTATAGATTTGACTGTAAAAATGAACGAGACAGAGAAACATCTCAAATCCTACTCACTTCATTGGATCACATATTACCATCGAATTGTCAAAAAGCCTTCTATTGTGCACTTCATTTCAAACGAAATTATGATAAACTACAAAAGCAAAACGAAATATACATGTTGAATAGATTTATGAACTTAAAAAGTAGATCTTCACTATCTTTCGAGGAGTAATTTGATCAGTAAGAAATGACAAGAGATCCTCATCATATAATTTGAGTTGATTGGAACTTAAATACAGAAATAGTCGTGAGACTTTGATTAAATGTTTTCTTTGGATTTCTTCAAAAGTTCATTCGAGTTCTGACATAATTCGTTGTAAATGTAGAATATTCAAGACATGTTGAACATTAGAAATACTGTTAAACGGTAGTTGTTTTCCTTGGCAAGTTTAAATATGACAATGTTCTTTATGTATCTTTTCAAGTGTACATGTCCTTCTGAAGCATTCTCAACTAATACAACATCATACGATCTCAAACACAAGATAATATGTGAGATATGGTTATTATATATTTATTAGCTGTCATAAGCTATACATCTCTAATATCTGATCGTTCGACGACATCATATTGAAACTTCTATGTGAATCTATTTTGATTAGAGAAGTTGACTATCAGATAAACACATACCTAAGTGAATTGAGGTCTAAAGTGTTATAATCAATATTAGCTTTCGATATGGGTACTTCATTTTTTTCAATTCGATATTTGATGACTTCTATAATGGTCTCGGAAAAGATTTTTTTTTTTCTAAAGACAGTTAGTTCTAGTTGTTTATATAAGAAGTAGTGGTTGTGAAAAAATCTATAGGAATGAAACAAGTTCAAAATCATGAATTATTATGAATTTTATCTTTAAAAAATATTTCCACTTTTCTCTATTCACGAGTTTCTATAATCTCTTAATCTTTTGTTCTGTAAGAAACGATATTGTATACAATTATATATTTTTGGTCTGATTCTTTCTATGGATCATCAAAGATTGCATATCTTCTGTTTACTTCTAAAAAGTTGATATAGGTGTGATTTTACAGAGTCTTAGCAATAGAGTTTAATTCATAGTACGATTGAACTTAAGTCGTTCGTAAGACATAAAAAAAAGTGAGCTCAGAACAATCTGTCAACCACGATCTTCGAAAATCGATTACTATAATTACGATTTCACTCAATTTTCAAATTGATCTAATGATAAACTTTATCTTCTATCGATCGTGGAGGTCTTGCTACTACTCTGTGATCATAAAGAAATTCTTTTCAAAGTCTTCTTTCTTTAGTTTCAGTATATGTGGTTGATATCTATCGCCAACTGTTGAACAGAATACTTTCGTTGCAGTGATTAGCACGAGAACATTCTAATTTGCATTCAGCATGAACGATTTTTGAATCAGGTGAAATTCTATCGAGTCTCACTCAAATATTTCTATATGATTCATGTATGTGTTGAAGGACCTCTATAAATGTTCTACTGGTAAAGTTTTTCCTTCAAAAACAACAAACGATAATACTAATAAGTAGAGGAAATAATATCATTGATTTGTGTTCTAATCAGAATTTACAATCTCTTTAAGCAATTAAATAGAATTTCGTTAAGATTTGCATTTTCACTACATTTAGTCATGAATGTTCTCTTTGTTCTTCGGTTTTCAGCAAGCGATCAGATCTCGTCTGTATTTCGTCACTTTCTACAAAACTTGCGAGAATTCTGCTTTTTTTCATTCATACTTCTAACTAAACGTCATGTCTAAACTATACTGTTGATTAAATTTGCCTTAGGTAAGTTACGAAGTTAGTCATTCATTGATTCAGACTCTAACTATGAAAACATGCATTGAGTGAACTCTTCAGAGGTACGAAATACTCAAATTAATTCAGCAACGAATAAGAAATGTAAAAATTTGATAGAATAAAAATTATCCCTTAAAACATGATGACGAATATTGAAGTAGTCAATTCCATAAGATATTAGTCTGTTACATTCGGATCACTTTTTGTTACGATCTCCCTTAAACACTCTGTATATTTGATAGTAAAGGACACAACCGAATAAAATGAAATTGTAACTCAAACCAATGAGTATTTAACAAAGCCAATATCGTATGTGATTTACGGTATCATTTTCTGTTACAATGTTGTAATGAAGAATTCATACATTTATTATTTATTGCTGAAGAAATGCATATATGTGTGTTTATCTGAAAATGAAAAATTCACCTAGCCTATTACTGCAAAAATAACATTATCCATCAATGAATTATTAAAAATTTAATTTATCTGAAATGAAATTGATTAGATTCTTCGCTAATTTTACAACTTTCCAAAAAAGAAATATAACTCAGGGATCATATACATAGACAGTGGCTTGCCAAAAATAAGTATGAAATGGACAGTTAAATTTTACTTACTTTTTCATCGAGTCTCAACAAAACTTGAGTTGCAATTGTCGGCTAGATGATAATGATATTGTAACGTTAACATACATTTCAGTTTCGCAGTAAGAATTAATTGGTTGGAATCATGAGTTAATAAGAAAATAGCGGATAATAGTTATCATAACTAAATAAATAGAAGTAATTAGTTACTAATAAAAATAATCTTTTTCTTCATGACAAAGATGCTCTCGAATCATTTTTGGAAAATTCACCTATACTTGAGAAGAAAGTAGTAAACGTATAATTTTAGACGCAGCTGTACAGTTTCTTCTTCCACTATTTCCCCTATCTATTACAAATCTTTACAGACATTCTAAGTAGATAAAAATGTATGTCGAACGTATCATGGACAGAGGATAGTGATGCCTTGATCTTTTAGTTTTTATATTATTAACAAAAAGAAACGGATTTAATCGTCTTACAAATTTAGAAGATAATCAATATTAGCCTTTGTGTATATAATAGATATTTTTCAATTCCCTTCTCAGCTATCTAAGTCAATGCTTATAATAATAACAATATGAAATTAAAGACAAACAAAAACGCAGCAAACGAAAAGTAGGAGGCCGATAGGAATAAGAAAATAATGCTTTTCGAATGACGAATTCAAATAAGACGTATTCTTACTCTATTGATTGATTATTGAAACAAATAACATAATTTGCGAGGAATTTTTCACTCGACGTGTTGTCTATTCGTATAATGGAACTAAAGATATATGTGAGTTTCTCATTTCAGACCCCCAAAATGCTGCTTGAACGAGACTCGTCAAACACTTATAAAATGTATCATACAGCTAAATCAAGCTTGTACGGTATTTCCTGATAAAATTTAATTTTAAGATAAGTAATTTGAGTTATCTATAACTTCTAAAAAACATGCACAGAAAATCATGACTAGAACCAACAAATACAGCAGAAAATTGTCTACATTGAAAGGATTTTTGATACTTTTCAGTAAAATACATCGTTAATAGACATCGTTTAACATGTATATGGGTTGGGCTAAAGTTCCATGCATTGTCGAACGATATGAGACAAAACTGTGAATCTTTGATAAAACACTGTTCGTCAGAATAGCTTGTAACAGCCAAGCAACCAAACATGTTTGGCTTTTTCAAATTCCTCTACCTAGTCAATCGATTGATCATTGAGTTTGAGAAGAATACTGTACCTGATTTCGCATGTCTTCAGACACAAAGATGTCCTGCATTACTTTCTAATATGGTCATTATTGAAATAATTACCGGTTGAACATGTGTCACAATTGCTAATATCTCATCATTACAAACTATG